CAGTTACCATCTCAAAAGAGTACGAATTTTCCTTCGCGTAATTTTATAATTAGTTGTGACATTCAGAGTAATTAACTGCAGTTGTTAATTTTTTTTTTTGATTCGATAAAATAATGTCCAGTTGCAGTGCGCGATGAATAATTAATTCTACAGTTCCAATACCCATATGCAGTAATTCCATTCCATTTCCCTTTTTCTGTTATAATGGACCGCAATGTTTTATATTGTTTTCTTTCGTGAATCGTTTAATCCATTTAAAATTCTACACGCACACATTCGTTGGAGATTAAATTTTCTGAATGTAATCAGGTTAACACAGGAAGCGACAATCATCCATACCATATAGGATATTCTCTTGAGTTGAAAAGGTACGTAGCAAGGCGCACACATACATGTCCTCCTTGTCTTCCACCATCTCCTCGCCTTCTACGATGGTTTTCCTTCTCGCTCGTTGAATCTAATTACACGGCAAAGACCCAACCACCCTGCCGTGGTGCTTGGCTCGTTTCGTTGCCAAGCGACCCGGGAGCCATCTTGGAGGGTTGCAGCCACTAATGGCCTAATGAATTTAATGGAGGCTCCCGACATAGAGTAGTCCCGATGTCGAGGAACGTTGCGTTTTGTCCTGAGAGTCCGCGGGATAAAGAGGGAAAAAGCAAGAGGTTTTCCAAGAGAACCCTCTCTTTTGTTAACTCTCTCTCCTTTTTCGAAAGGAAACGATCCACGTGACGCAGGATAGAAAAGGGGAACTTAGGGGAAGCTAATTTTTCCCAAAAAAGTCACACACAAGGAGAGAGAAGTGTCTTAGGGATAAGTGTTCGAGAAAGGGTTGTTTTTGACTTGAGTAGGGTTTTGTCAAGGTTGCGAGAGAGTACTCACAATTTTACTCCCTCGAGAGATGAATAAAACTGTTGGAAAGATAAAGGGTAGCTTTGTTCAGCCGGAAAATGAGAATTATTTTATGTAGAAGTGCGGATTATATAAGAACTTTATCAGTGACAGGAGTTCAAATGTAAATTCCAAACGGGGAAGACAAATTTATAAGGAACAAGTTAATTGGGATTTAAACTTTCTGTCGGGAGGGTAAATAATTATAATGCCACTCTGACTGTATGTATAGATTCAACATTTAAGAAGTTAGACATAAAATACATGACTCCATCTCCGTTATATACTTTCCCACGTCGAGATAACAAACAGGATTCCTTTTTCTCAATTCTCCACTGAGTCTAAAGTTATAAATAATTATTAATATAAACTAAAGCCGAAAAGAATTGTTCAATAAATAAAACATCGAATCTCGGTCCTCATCTAAGATACAAATAAGGATCTATAAGTATACCGAACATGAACTGATAATTAGACAAGCAACATTGTCAAAAATTATCTTCTACTAGAAATAATATAACTTTTTGTTACACACTTTCATTTCGAAAGCTCTTGTAAATAATAATTATAAATTTATAAGCGTAATTCTCCTAAAATTTGTGGTCCCAAAAGCAATATTCTCAAAAATATCATAGAAAGAAATTAACTTTTTCGTAGCTCGGACTTTTACCTCAAAAGCTTTTGTACACTAACTAAACTATAAAAAATTATAAGTCAAAAAGAATAGTTGAATAAATAAAATATCAAATCTTCGTCTTCAGATAAAGTAGATCCAAAAATAACGATTGCATCCTAAGGACACCGAACATCAACTGACAATTAACTGTCTGTGACAAGATGTATTGTCTATATTAACTTTTTTGTAGCTCAGACTTTCACCTTAAAACACCTTTTGTTACTCGCGTCTTTTTAAAAGTAAACACAAGAGTCGATTGTTTTTCCAAAAACGATAATCATAAATCACTTCTATTTTTACTATAATAATAATATCTGCTCTTTTGTGAATATTTATCCATATTCGAATTTCCAAAACTGAATTCCAGGGAGTAAAAATCTTTTTCTTCAATTCAACGCGAGGAATTTCTGTAAAATAGTAAAGCGTACAGAGTATAAAGTACAGAAGATAAATCTCGTCCACAAAATGTGAACGCGTAGGTCCCTCGAGAGGGTCGTTTGGTCGATGATAACGAGCGCATACGACGTATGAGATTACTCTAAAGATAGGCTAGTGTATACCTACACCTATTTTCTGTCCCATGCTGTAAACAATGTCTTTTACGAATTGTCCAACGTTACATCTCCAATGCTTTTCTTCCATTCTGCACCAAAAAAATAAAAAAAAAAAAAAAACCCGACAATAAATACGAAAGGATATTTTACTTTTTCTTTGGGAAAAATAAAGACGGTATTTTTATGAAAATTCCTTCGACAGATTTTCATGAATTCTAATTTCTAAATTGATGGGGGTATTAATTTATTATTTATGTAAATGATAATTACAAGCGTAATTCTTCTAAAATTTGTGGTCTTAGAATAAAACGGGAGTGGTTTTTAATTGGGTATTAATTTTTTTAAATTTTTAATGTAAATAATAATTATAGGCGTAATTCTTTTAAAATTTGTGGTCCCAGGATAAGACGGGAGTGGTTTCTAATAAGTATTAATTTATTTTTATTTTTAATGTAAATAATAATTATAAGCGTAATTCTTCTAGAATTTGTGGTCATATAATAAGACGGGAGTGGTTTGTAATGGGTATTTAGTTATTTTTATTTTTAATGTAAATAATAATTACAAGCAGAATTCTTCTAAGGTTTGTGGTCCTAGAATAAGACGGGAGTGGTTTTTAATGGATATTAATTTATTTTTATAGCAAATACTAATTACAACGTAATTCTTCTAAAATTTGTGGTTCCAGAATAAGACGGAAGTGGTTTCTATTGGGTATTAATTTTTTTAAATTTTTAATGAAAATAATAATTATAAACGTAATTCTTCTAAAATGTGTGGTCCTAGAATAAAAAGGGAGTGGTTTTTAATGGGTCTTAATTTATTATTATTTGTAATGTATATAATAATTATAAGCGTAATTCTCCTAAATTTGTGGTTCCAGAATAAGACGGGAGTGGTTTCTATTGGGTATTAATTTTTTTAAATTTTTAATGTAAATAATAATTATAGGCGTAATTCTTTTAAAATTTGTGGTCCCAGGATAAGACGGGAGTGGTTTCTAATAAGTATTAATTTATTTTTATTTTTAATGTAAATAATAATTATAAGCGTAATTCTTCTAGAATTTGTGGTCATATAATAAGACGGGAGTGATTTTTAATGTGTATTAATTTATTTTTATAGTAAATAATAATTATAAGCGTAATTCTTCTAAAATTTGTTTCTGGAGAAACGAAAGTAATTTCTGATAAGTTTTTTTATGCTTCGTCCTGTTGATGGAATTTTCATTAGACTTTTAAGAATACATCTGTATAATTGGGAATTTAAAAAAATATAAAGGAGAGTAGCTGTGGTAATCCAGAGTGCAGCACAGGGCTTACGAAGGCTCCTCGAGATGTTTATTGAGTCAACCAGCGCACGCGCTACCCGAACAATCTCATCCCAACTCTCTTCATCTCATCGAACTCTGTCTTGCCCGGACTTACCACATTTTTTTTTTATTCTGACATTTTTCAAATCATAGAAATAAACTCTCTTGGAAAAATATAAAGAAACTCCCTTTTTTTTTGCAGTAAAATATTTTTTAGGTACTATCTCTCAATGTCACCTAAAAATTTAGTTTGTTAGCTCAGACTTTCACCTTAAAACCCCTTTTGTAAATAATAATAATTACAAGCGTAATTCTTCTAAAATTTGTGGTCCCAAAAGGAATATTGTCAAAAATTTTCTTCTATTAGAAGAATATTATTAAAGATAATAATTTCATGGAAAATGACACTTGAGATCTAAACTACTTTATTTATGGAAGCAAGTGTTTTGCAAAATGAGGAGAATTGAGTATGTAAGAATGTGCAGTAGAGGGGAATTGTTGAGACCTTTAAACGGGGGGATTAAGTGCTACGTAAATTCTTGTACACGGTCTGCTTTTACCCGGGATAAAGAATAGCCGCTTGGTTAGACGCATTCGCCTGTAAAGGATGCTAAACTAGAGCGAGAGTCGTCCAAGGAGCGAGAACGATAAGAATCGCCTAATGGGAATAAAAAATTTACATCTACTTATACTCTCAGTGTATATTTTTTTCTGCGACACTCTATTTTATTCTTTTTGAAATTATTACTAGAAACAAATATTTACTTTTAGCATCCAATTAAATAGGATTTAATATAAAATTTATACAAGAGTTTAAAAACTTTTCTGAAAAATAAATCAGAAACTGATATTTATTATGCTGATAGCAAATTTGAATGCAGACTAAATTTGCATCAAGTTTTATTTATAGTTAATTTAATTTGATTGTCTAAAGACTAGGATCAGGCCTGACTAGGATGACGTTTGATTACGAAAGGTTTTTGATAGTTAAAGGAAATGTTTCTACCAATGGAAGAAGTTTCTAAAAAATGCAAGTCGAAACCTTGACACGTTGCTACATCTCTCGGTCATTAATTAAAACTGTATCCATCTTAAGTTTATAAAAAATGAATTTTGAAAAAATTATATTCTTTTGTAATTTATGTAAATCTTGATTTAAACTTTAATTTTCTTAAATGTATTAAATAATTTTCATTGAAAGCTTTTTTCGACATTTTATTTCTGATACCGACCAAAGATAATTGAAAGAATGACTTGTGGTCTCTAATGTTAGATGACGCCAGTGAACTCGCATGATTAAAACTAATTTTTTGAAGATTTCTTACCGAGATCCAAGATGGAACAATCTAATTCTCAAGTTTATTTATAATAAAAAAAAAGTATTTGTAATTTATACAATCGAATAATTAGATTTGACACCATTGATAGACGTCATATTTGTGACAATCTTACTAAACATTCTTTTTCAGTAAAAACTTAAATTTTTTCTTTATTTATAATCGTTTACAAATTGTCAAAAATTAACACTTATAAATATATTCTTAAACTAATAGTCATAAATAACACAATGTTTATTTGTAATAATTGAAACATTATTGAGCGATTTATAAATATATCGTCATTCTTATTTTACACTAGAATAACAAAAAACAATTTATCTAAACTTAATATTTAATTTCTTATCCTATGTACAATATTTCATGAAACTGCATATTATTTATTAAATCAGTCAAATGTTTATTTGAAATAAAATTGTAAAAATTCAAAATAAATAAAATTTTGTAATTGTTTGAAAATAGTTATTGTTAGAGAACGTATTTTTAAAGTTTTTTAATGCAGATATATTTATTTTAACATATTTCTAAATGCGTTTAAAAACATTTACGAAAAGCATCCGCCAGAGCATCTAAACTTGTAGAAATATTGACAATGTTGCTTCAAAAAATTCACAATATTGATGCAATGTTGTCAATGTTGCTGCATGTTTAGATGCTGTGGGGGATCATAAAAAAATTTATTTTCCTTTTGTGGACATTTATAAATATATGCAGATCATTAGTAGGAATTTGTATAAGCAATACGAAATTTATATATAATATATACAATAAGCATATTGTAGAATTTATTTATAAAATCACTTGACATATTTTGAAAATCTGAAAAATTGAGAAATACGAAGTTTTCAATGTAAATAAAGATCGGAAATTTTAGGTTCGGTAGGAGAAATAGGAGAAGTATAGTACAGCCTTTTCAGTAAGTAATTTTGACTAAGAGAACCTTTGTAAAATGAATTTATTATTAGAGAATAGTGTTACCTTAATAATCCTCAAAATTCGAATGTCATAATCTCATATTACTAGGACAGCCGTGATTCATTCTGTACTCCACGTACAGCATTCCTGTATTATGCCAATAATATAGTGCCAAAACAACTAATGCGTGCCACCATTGATGAGAAGATCCAATAAAGTCTACACTACCTGTAGAGTCAAGAAAACCATAGTATAGCTCAATTATAGTAAGGTATGTTAATTATACTATAATTTTAAGTAGTTAAATTAAGTCCTTATTAAATAGTCAAAAATCAAGTCCTAAAACCAACCTGGATAAAAGCGTTCGGGAATTCTACTAAGATAAATAAGAAATGCTAATCCACTAATGACATACATTCCTAGTACCCTAGGAAGAAGCATTCGAACCATGGGATTTTCCATTCCACCCATAGCAATACTCCAGTGCAATGTTGGCAACACTCCATAAGCTGCCCAAGCAACAAAAACTATCAATTTTATATTGCCATTAATATCGAACTTTGGCACTTGTAGAATCATTGCGAATACAAATATTAATAGAACAGTTATTAGGTAAAATTGTTGTAAACCCTGAAAGGAAGGATCAATTAGACAAATAGGTTTTAAACCACATTTGCTCAATAAATATTTAAACTAAATTTACTCGTCGAATCATTTAAATACTGAAAAATATATTCATAAACATACGTTGGATTTATAATATTAATATACGAACAAACCTTATGACACCAGAAGGCGTAATAAACCCCAGACATGTAAATTGCTAGTAAACTAAGAGCAATGCCAAAGAGATCAAACGATAGGAAACACCAGTAATCATCTTCACTTCGACAAGAAAATGTATGATAAATTGACGACAGGATCATACATGCCTGAAATATTTATAACTTGATTAATTCTTTAAGAACCTAAATTTGTTCCTACAGTTCTTGGAAATCTTAGTCCTTAAAAATTGTTTGACAAACTCTAAAGACATTTTTTTTAAAAAGAAAATTTTTGTACCTGGAAACAAATTAGCAGCAAGGCAACAATAATCTTGTCGCCAAATGGTGCATGAATGTTCAATAGACAGAGATCGTAGAATGTCAATCCGAAAAATAACATCCATCCAAAAACGTGACTCCAAATGTTGATTGTTTCATTGGTCCACCAAAATACACTGAAAACGGTAGAAAGAAGTTTGATTAAAATAAGTTTTAATTCTCCAAAATATATAGATAAAAACCCGGAGTAGAAAAAAATATAAAAATCTAGTCCAAAATAAAAAAAATGCAATACATTCGTTTTGCATCGTATTTAAATAATTTTATTAAAATGCAACCGATATAATCATTGTCGCTTATAAATATGATGTACAAACTGTTGGGTAATAAAAAGTTTCGAATTACAAGTTTCGAGAACCTACTTACAAGTATTTGTTAACATTTAGATTTATCGAAATTGTATCGGAAATATTACCAATTATTATCCACAAGTATTCAGGAAGAGAAAGTATATAACTGATTGACTAGAGTGGGCAAGTTTATTTTATGCTTGATGGATTTACATTTTTTATTAAACTGACACTGTGCGAGTAACTCGGACGTTCTAGATTTGAATATTACAAATCAATTACAAAGTAATGTGAGGATAATAATAATTATTATTGTTCCCGGCAGCTGACAGTCCGCGACATTTTGTGGCTGGGTTGTCACAAAAAATTAATTTTGTTTTTTAACTTTTCTTCTATCTTCAGTCATACAAGAAATAACTTTTGTTCTTTCTTCAGTCATACAAGAAAGAACTTTTATTCTTTCTTCAATCAAAGAAGAAATTACTTTTCTTCTTTCTTCAGTCATACAAGAATAAACTTTTGTTCTTTCTTCAGTCGAAGAAGAAAGAACCTTTGTTCTTTCTTCAATCAAAGAAAAAAGTACTTTTCTTCTTTCTTCAGTCATGCAAGAAAGAACTTTTCTTCTTTCTTCAGCCAAAGAAATAAGAACTTTTGTTCTTTCTTCAGTCAAAGAAATAAGAATCTTGTTCCTTCTTCAATCAAAGAAGTAAGTACTTTTTTCAGTCATAGTAGAAAGAAGTTTTGTTCTTTCTTCACTCAAAGAAATAAGATCTTTTATTCTTTCTTCTGTAAAATAAATAAGAATCGTTGTGCTTTCTTGAATCAAAGAAATAAGAACTTATGTTCTTTCTTCAGTGAAAGAAATAAGATTCTCGTTCTTTCTTCAATCAAAGAAGAAATTACTTTTCTTCTTTCTTCAGTCATACAAGAATAAACTTTTGTTCTTTCTTCAGTCGAAGAAGAAAGAACCTTTGTTCTTTCTTCAATTAAAGAAGAAATTACTTTTCTTCTTTCTTCAGTCATACAAGAATAAACTTTTGGTCTTTCTTCAGTCAAAGAAGAAAGAACCTTTGTTCTTTCTTTAATCAAAGAAAAAAGTACTTTTCTTCTTTCTTCAGTCATACAAGAAAGAACTTTTCTTCTTTCTTCAGCCAAAGAAATAAGAACTTTTGTTCTTTCTTCAGTCAAAGAAATAAGAATCTTGTTCCTTCTTCAATCAAAGAAGTAAGTACTTTTTTCAGTCATAGTAGAAAGAAGTTTTGTTCTTTCTTCACTCAAAGAAATAAGATCTTTTATTCTTTCTTCTGTAAAATAAATAAGAATCGTTGTGCTTTCTTCAATCAAAGAAATAAGAACTTATGTTCTTTCTTCAGTGAAAGAAATAAGATTCTCGTTCTTTCTTCAATCAAAGAAGAAATTACTTTTCTTCTTTCTTCAGTCATACAAGAATAAACTTTTGTTCTTTCTTCAGTCGAAGAAGAAAGAACCTTTGTTCTTTCTTCAATTAAAGAAGAAATTACTTTTCTTCTTTCTTCAGTCATACAAGAATAAACTTTTGGTCTTTCTTCAGTCGAAGAAGAAGAAAGTACTTTTCTTCTTTCTTCAGTCAAGGAAAAAAGAACTTTTGTTCTTAATAATATTCTTAATAATTATTGAATTTTGAAAAAGAATTTTAACATTTTTAAAGATAATTGAATGTTTAACGAGAATTTTTTAAAATTTTTCAACATAATTGAATTTCTGCAAACATTTGTAAGCAGATTTTCCAAAAGTCGCAAAGTACAAAAAAAATAATTGATAACTAATCATTATTAATAATGTTATTGACATTGTAATTAATACCTTTCTATACATAATTTAGTGGTGAGATAGCCTCGGTAGCCGTGAAGTATAAAAGGATTAAATTGAAGATATTCAGGTGCTAAGTGAAAAGGAAGTAACTTTCTCATCCTTTCTTCATCTTCAACAGTCACCTGACCCTTAATTGGTGACTTTGCAGGTTCTTTAGGACGTTCAATTCGTCTCTGCAATAAAAATGCAATTGTAATATTAATGTCGCCTCACTACTAAAACGTCAACAGTAATAAATCAAAATTAAAATAAAATCTACTTTCTTTATACACAATTCTAATTAATAATTAGCCATTTTTGTAAAAGATTTTATATTTTCAACTTGAGCAAGTCTATATACAATTTTATTTTAAGAAAAAGAAATTTTCATAAAGAAAAGATTGAATTACATCTGAAAAAGTATCGATTCACGTAAAAATTACAATATTACAAAATTTCGCAATTTTTTTTTAACTGAATTAGTAAAAAAAAGGGGGAAAATTTCACTTTTACGAATTTCCAAGTGGGAGTCAAGAGATGGCCTTAAAATAATGTCGGTGAAAGAGAGAAGGAAAATATTTATGAATGTATCAAGTATCTAGTGATAGGAAAGCGGTAAGTGGGTCACAACGGGACATGCCTTTCGACTCTCTGTGTCAAGTTTGTATTCCCCTTAATCGTATCTTCTCTTCTCTTCATCTCTCGGCAAAGTGGAACTTTGCTGTAAATTGACTCGTAGAAATTTGCAATCAAAAGTGAAAATCAGTCTTTCCTTATGTACCATTTTCTTTTTCTATCTGTTTTTTTATATTTACAACAGTAAACGGAATAAAGTATTAAGTAAACGTGAATTTATTTATCAAACTTCATATATCGCGAAGTTTTCATATTTCTGTATAAAATAATAAAAATAATAATAAAGAAATTTTTAAATATTAAGAAAATAAGAATTATTTCAAATTAAATAATAATTTTATATTAAATTTATTAAAATTTAATATTAATAAATAAGAAAAATCTCGGATGATATTATGGTTTTGATGAAATAAAATCCATTAAAATTAAGTTCTGTTAATATTTGAAAAAATAGTATTGTTTTCAATTTATTTACTTGATAGGCGACTGATTTTGTTGAATCTTCCGCCGCAGGGGATTTTGGATTTTTTTCATGATGATTATTGCATACATGATCATTGAGAAGATCTTTTTTTTCTTCACTCGTCACCTCCTCCACGCCTGCCAATATTTTCATCATCGAAGTGACTTAAATATTTTTCTCCACTTTCAGTTTATACCTAAAATTAAATATAAATTTATTTCAATAAGATCGAAAATGAAAAAAGAATTCTATTAGAAAAATTATTATTAAAAATTAAAATTATTAGAAATATCTTAAAAAATGTATTACAAAAAAGTTTTTTGTTATCACTTATGTTGAATTTGGCATCTATCAACTTAAAGTAAAAATTGAAGAATAATTTAGTGAGCCAGCAATTTTTCGTGAAAGTTAGAAAGAAAATTCTAACAGTAAATATAAAACAATTATATTTTTCAAGAGCGGAAAAAAATGAAAATTTTTTAAAGGAAAATATATTTCATTATGTGCTAAAATTTTTTTTTCTATTTTTTAAATTATATACAAAAAAAAATGTTTTTTATCTGCGGATATTAAATTAGAAATAATTTATGGAACAAAAGGAGAATGACATTTAAACTTTTTTTTCAGTGTAATTGATTTTGGTTTATTGCTCGTAACTACCATGTACTTACATCTAATAAATTTAAGTGGTGTAAGCCATTCAAAGTAAGCCACTCACGCAGTAGCATCTTTGTATAATAAAACTTTGGCGAGTTTATAGTTCAACGACTGGCCACTGACATTCAATGACATACTATTATTGTCAAATCTAGTTTCTTTTATAATAATAGAAAAAAATACCTCAGGTACAAAAATGGCACAAAAATTTATAATTTATAATTTTCTTTTGCCTAATTCGAACTAAAATTTTTTAAATGAGTTGAAGAAATACATTTTTTTGGCAAAATGATCTTGAATCATTTTCAAATATAAATATTATATATAATAATATTTTTTTTATTAAAAATAATTGAAAATATTCAAAATAATTGAAATTATTTAACCTTTAGAGGACCGGAAATTTATAAATAAATAAGAAGTCAATTCGATAAAAAGATTCGTCAAAATAAATGGTCCTGGCCCTCTAAAGCTTAAAATAATTAACATATATAAATATAAATAAAACTATAAAATTAAAAAAACATATTTTTAAAAATAAGAAAATCTTTTGAAAATAAACTGAATTTTTTTGAACTTTCACACAAAATGCAACAACAATTTAAAAAATAGATTTTGAACTTGTACCATGGTCGCAGTTTATTATCATTCGACCGATATGGTATTGAAGGTGTTATGTCATTGTCAAGTAGAAAAAAATTACGTGACTTAAATTATTATCAAATAGCCGATAAATGCCAAAATAAAATTCCATTTTTAAAAACCATCATCAAATTATAATAAATTATAATGTAAAATTCATTCGTAGCTGTAGTATTTGAAAGCAATATCACATAACGATCAGCAATGGCTTTCAAATACTCCTTTCATATAGAAAAACAAAAGAAATTTTCTCTCTAGTAAAATAATAATTTTCCACAAATCCAACACTTTAGAATAATAATTTTTTTTCTCATCGTCCAAGAGATGGTTTTCCTTAAACCGATGTTTTTAAAATTTTGTTAAAAAATAAATTTGTATTAAAAAGATGTTCATTATTTTATTTATGAAATTATATTCATATTTTTCAGTATTAGAATGAAAAATAGTAAACATAAAATAAAAAAGATTCAAGAAAAAAAAAAGAATTCATCTTGGCTGACCGCAATAGGATATGTATCAGAACTTTGTTTCTGGGTCCATGAGATTCCCATTTACTTTCTCTCCGCACAAGATCTCTCGGATCAAATCTTTCAGCGAGAAAGTTGGGGGAAAATGAACTGCTATTTGTATCTCAACAATTATATATACAAAATCGTGTGCATAGCAATAAACGTTAAATCTCTGAAATAAAACTAAAGAAAAGTAATTTTCAAACTAATTTTTTTAATTCAAAGAGAAAAATTCATTTTTCTATATGAAACATATATAACATTGGATTTAATCCTTGTATTTGAATTTTCACAGATTTTCCACTTTCGATTACAAACAAAAATAATAATACCTAATAATAATAATAATATAGGGGAACATAGTCTAGGTCGGCCACCTTTTTGACTTTTGTTTATAACTTTTTTTTAAAAATGAATTTGGACAATTGAAGTATATGGTTGGAAAGTCCTGTTTAATAGGAACATTTTTTCTGTACAAAGTAAATTGACAGGTTTAAAAATGAAAAAGTTATAAAGATTTAAAAAAAAAAAAATTTGTAGTCCAGGTTGGCCATTACAGTCAAGGTCGGCCATGTTTAAAATTCAAAGGGCATTAATCGTTAAAAAATAAAATAACATGTTTGGAGTTACGGAAAATTGATTCTTTATTGTTTACAGTTTGTAACTTAATGAAATAACAAAATAATAACAATAAACAATATAAAAAAATAAATATAAATAAAAAAAAGTTTTGCACTAAAATATTTATAAAATTAAATAAAAATATTAATAAGATGTGCACAAAACTTTTTTTGAGCTTTTTTTGTACCGACGTCACAGAAAACACAGTTTTCGATTTTCCGAAAATGTAATTGAACAAAAAGTTAGGTTTCACTAAGACAAGCATCGACAAAAATGCGCGTAGGTGGCGCTAGTGAACTTGACAAAAAAACGCGAGTGGCCTACCTAGACAGTAGGCCAACCTTGACTACATTCCCCTAATTGTAATAATAATAATAATAATAATAATAATAATAATAATAATAATAATAACAATAAAGATAAAAAAAATAATACTAAGATTAAAAAGAACAATAATAAAAAAATAACAATAAAGATAAAAAAAATAATACTAAGATTAAAAAGAACAATAATAAAAAAATAACAATAAATAAGGAAATATTTTAAAAAGGACACAATTTTTAAAATAGTTCTAATAATAATTGAAAAGTAATTATAACAATATTATCTACATAGAACAACAATTTAATTACTAATTTGTTTATGTGTACAATGTTATGAAAAATATAAAATATACTAAAATAGTTAACTCGTAACTATGCGATAAACTTCGACTATTTCTTATCCAAATAAACAGACTAATTATTTTAATAAGTGTTTAAAGTAAAAAAAAAAAAAATTCCGAACAATTCCACTATTTTCTAGATATATATTTAAAATGTTAAAAAAATGCGCAAAACTGTTGGAAAAATTTATATTTGAATGGAAAATTTCACAACGTAATATATGAAAATGAAAAAAACCAAAAAATAAATATCTAATTAAATTAAATATTCTACCACAGTAGCAATAAAAAAAAGATTATATTAATATATTATTAATAAATAAACTTCAAAACGTGTGAGAAAATAAAAAAAATGAAAATGAATGAAAATGAAAATGAAAATGAAAAAAAAATGAATTGTACAGGAAAGTGAGGAAAGGATTTTAAAAAAACTTTCGCGCGTAGTAATATTAATTGGTCTAGAAGAAAAAAAAAATTATTATTCACGACTAAGAAGGTGAAAATGACATAAAAGTGATATTTATTCATGTATCAACAATAAAACGTTTGCGTAAACTGATTTTTATTAAAACGTCCCTGAATCAATAACATTCTTTCTGTTTTATTTCCGGTAAATTTATTAAATATTTATGTTCCTAGGGCTGAAAATCCTCTAAAGAACAAAAATACATGATAAATTATATAAAAAATAATTGAGTAACTACATAACTGAATAAGGAAATTTAAAAAAGCCATTGAATAAAATAATAAACATTTCGTTATTATAATAATAATAACAATTATTATTATTATTATTATTATTATTATTACTATTATTAGTATCATCAAGGCACTTTTTCTATTTTTGAATTATGAATTTTCTATTTTAATTTATATAAACAACATTATATAAAACCGTTCGAAAGAAACTCTTTTTCCTGATTTAATGGAGAAAAGAAATTTATGAAAGTCAACAAATTACAAAATGATGACTTACCAGAAAATATGAAAGATCCAATAAAAGAGGAAAAAAAAACAGTCTCTTACGAGACTTTGAATAATTAAAAATTACCACCTGATCATAACACTTCCGAGGGGGATAATTATAAAACACACGATAATAAACGAAAATTAAAATTCCTTTTTTTGAAAATTTGTTTTTGATATAATAAGCCAATCCAGTATTTCGATTATACAAATAGACCGGTGGATGTCTTTGGACAGACTGTGGATTGGTCAAATCGCGGTTTCCCTGTCCGGTACCGTCTCATTCTATGAGGGAAGGGGCCTTATTTCTCGTTTACGTCAGCACTCTCACCGTACTGCATTTTATGCATAGTGGAAAGGACTCCCATTTTAACTGATATTCGAAGATGTTTTTTTTATTCATTTTTTGTTTAAAATTTTGTTCATTTTTTTTTTTCGAAAATGGAAATATTGGTCAAATAGGGTAAGAGTTAGTACAAATTACTGTGAGTGTACCAATTACTGCGACTTTAAGAAAAGTATTATTTTCTATTCAGAGAATTTTCAACTATATTTTCAAATTTTTGAAAAAATTAAACTGCTTTTAAACTTTATGCAATAGTCTATAAAACTTTATTTATAGTATAAAAAATTTAAGTATAAATTTACTTTCATTCTAGAATGTGCTTTAATTACTGCACGCAACATAACCTATAAATACACGTTATTTTAGTAATTGACTCAAATGCAAATGATGGACGATTTTGGTATTAAATTGTTTAAATTTTGTTTGAATGTATATTTAATATTTCTTTTTGTTCAACGTTATTTATTAAAACATTAGTCTTTTTTAGACGTTTCGGTCTCAAACGGTGACCGAAATATATTTCTAAAATAATAGAATTTTCTCTTATATAAACCCTACTAAAAAAATAATGAGGAATCATGACAAAACATTAGACATTTTGATTATTCTTCAGATTTTCTGATGCTTTTTGGTGACTCTAATGATTTGTGATTTTTTTGTTTATTTCTGACAGAATTTTATAGTATGGATTTGAAGTTAACTTCTCACATCACTTAACAAACCAGGCTGACCATACCTAAAGGGTATCTTTTAATATCCTCAAATTAATATTTGTAAAATAAATTTTAGATATTTGGAATCATGAAATATCACAGATTCTTAATTTTTTAATTATAAACTTCAATTGGTTAAATTAAAAAATTTTCAAGTCATAAAATTTTTGTTAATTTGGTTATGATAGAAAATTTAATAATTCTTCTAAAACAATTCAACAATATTACGATCCGTTTCTTTCTTTCTATTTTATTGAAAAAAACCGGACATTCTTAATGTGTCGTCTTCATCATCTAGCATTTCAGAATTAGAAGCGAATAATACTGTAACATTTTTTTCTGATGTCATTTGGAATTTCCTAATAGGACACTAATTATCATTAAATAGTATTTTAGAGATTCAATTTTTTTCTTTTTGAAAAAGCAAAGAATATTTTAAATTTATTTATTCAAACAATAAGCGGGCTAATAATAATGAAAATAACTGCCCTTTTGTACTATTTGTGAATAAAATTAAATCTAAGCGATATGTTAAGTTAGACATTAGTCTGAATTACTAAAAATTCAAATATGCTAGGTAAATCTCTCTACAAATTTTAGTGTAGATCTCATTCTCGTCATAGTCAGTTCTATGATAATTAGTTTCGAAGTAATTTTGGAGGAACAGAAAAATTTATGTTTGAAAGGAATTGAAAATTAAAATATTAAAAAATATGCTTCTTTTTAGATATTCATTCAAATTTTTCGAACTATGTAAGTTTAAATTCTAAATAAATATTACTACTGTAAAGATTTTACTAATTTTTAGTAGAAAACTAAGTTAAATTAAAAAGAATCAAAAATTTTTTTTTTCTATTTATATTAGAAGTTTTTTTTATGAAACATTCATTTGTTATTGTTTATATTATTTTGATTAATCATTAATCAATATATATATAGTTAATTTTTTCTTCAGTTATTGAAGTTTATATTCTTTTAATCGATTATCGGAAGAGTAATAAATGAAACACTGTTTCATTATAGTTGTGCAACGTTTCGCTGTCTTGGTTTGACACCATCATCAGGCCACTTTATTAAACAATGAAATATTCTTTAGCAATTATTAATTTTCAAATAAAATAAAATTTTTAGAAAAACAAAACAAATTAATATCTACCTGGTCATTTGAAAAAAAGTACTTAAAGAAATAATTTGTTACATTTGTAAAGCATCTCGAATAAAATTAAATAAAAACGTCCAAAAAATTAAAACTAGTTTATTTATTTTAAAATTTCAGTTACTAACTCGAAATGTTAAACTCCAATTTTTGGCTAAATTTTAATTCCTTCGACATGTAACGTAAAACTTTTTATTTATTGGCAAGATATGTTTATTGTCATTTCGATACGAGCATCAAGTCAAAAATTTTTTAGCTTCTCCTACTAGACGTCTCTTTTGTTCAGTAGGTTTTCTAACCAGTATGAACCAGACAATCTTTCAGATTTTCGCAAAATTATTCCCCCTTTAGTCGCCTTTTACGATCACGCGGTAGGTTTCGGACGCCCTATTCTTCAGCCGGGGTCGACACGGCGAGGATCCTAAAAATAATTCCAAATTTCTTGTTCCTCGATGTTCTTGGAGTTTCGACTTCTTCAAACTTCATGAAGATGAAAATTTGTTCTCCAACTGAAAATCGTTTCGACAACAAATATTCGAAGTTAAAAAAATTTACATTTTAATAAATAAAATTCAATCAAGCGTTAATTTCCTTTTAAAAGAGAAATATAAAACGAAATTAAAAATCATATTTGTAAAAACTATAAATTTCTGTACAAAACTATAAATTTCTGTTCAATAAAAAAGAAAGAAATTCCATGTTGGACATTCGTTTAAACAAAACCTTTAATATACAAATCTCAAAAGAAAAAAAAAACGAATTTGAAAAACGCTAACAATTAAATCGAATAGTTCCATATTCAATATTTATTACGCACGCTTTCACAATAAAAATTCAATTTGGAAAATTACAATTTCTTCGTGACTGACACAAAAAATAAGTGAGCACAGAAAAAATGTCTCTTGAATGAAAAAAAGAAAAAAAGTCGAATACATCGTCGTTACTTAGACTTTATTATATAAAGGACTAATGCTAGAATGTACACAAGATAAGTTATTAAAAATGTTCATTATTGCGATAATATTTAATTACACAATGAATAATTTTTTTTTTCTAATAGAGGTAAACGATGATTAACCAGGGCAACTTTTTTTTTAATGATTTTTTTTAATTTTTTTTTTTTCCTTTAATACCTATTCTTGCCTTGTTCGCAATATGGTAATTCAATTACCGACACTCTCGAATTTTTCTTTTAAATCCAAAGAGACAAAAAATCGAGTTTGTCACATGATTCATCCAATTTATTTTCACAGTGTAAATCAATATTCATCCCTATAAAGGAATCGCATCCATTCGCCAGCCTTTTTGCCCAAATGAGATTTCAAAAGCACCCTACATCGAAAGAGTTAGAACGCCGATACAAGTTGCATTTTTTTTAAAGATAAAATACCTATTACATTTTTTTTTTTCTCTTAGATACTAATTAAGTCACGGTGATCAAAAAACGACTTTTTTTGCATTGAAAAATTTCAGAGGCATACCAAAAATAAAACACGGATAACACCATATTAATTGGATCGCGTGCAATAATGAATCCACTTTCTTTTTTTTTTTACACGTGAATTTTAATTATTTTTTCTCAAATTTACTAAATGTGACGAGAAACTTTTTTGAAAGAAAATATTTTCAGTAAAACTGATTCTGATTATCATCACAGCACATAAATAAAAAAAAAGTGTTTTTTTTTCTAAAAAAAAAAGAAATTTGAAAATGTTCAATTCTCTTTTTTTTCACTTAAAAATGATAACTAAAAGCGATACATAAAATACACTGTAAGAAGTAAATTGAGCTTGGCATGAGAAAAGTGTAAATTAATCAGCATGGGATCGAATTTTTTCGAACGGCGCAATTAATATTTTAATTAGTAAACAATGACGCATCAAACGGAACTTGTGAGTGTCGATTTTTTTTTTACAAAAAGAAATATACCGATCATATTTCTATTTTTCTTTTTCTTTATTTTAATTGCCCTTTTTGATCAGTACAAATCTCTCAAAAAACAAGTCAAGACTTGGCGGGGGAAAGAATTTAAAAAAACAAAAATCGTTTTCTAAATTGCGCACCAGAATATTGAATTTATTTAGCGCAGAAAAATTAAATAATTTTTTTTTATACAATCAAATTACAGGTACAATAGAAATTTTTTCCAAACAATCGATACAAATACCAATAAGAAAATTAATTTTTTTTTAAATAAAACGAAAAGGATCAAAATTAAATTTTCTAACGTATGTAAATTAAGAACAAAAATGAATTTCTTAGATATTTGTAGCGATTTTTAAATAAATTTGACTATAAACCTAAAATGGATTAATTCTTGCCTTTATGAAACATAGCAAACAATCGTTTATTCAAACGACGTAATTCTATGAATTAAGATTAATTTTTTTTTCTTTTCTCGGCACTTTTTCTGTACACGATAAAATGAAGAAAAAAAAAACCCCCTCCAAAAAAAAGATTAGGTCGGGAATTAAAATAATAAAAAATATGTTTTTCAGTTTCAGAAGTATTTATGTAGGGCCCAGTCTTACAAAAAAGGTAACCGCGTCAATCTAAAAGGGGGGATGTGATGAATTTTTTTTTTTAATTTGACGGGCATGAATTGCTTAATTTCACTTTGAATAAAAAAAAAAATTAACAATCGGTGCACTGTCATGACAGTTTCTTTGCAATTCTTTTTTTTTTTTTTTTTTTTTTTTTTGACAAAAATTATGAGAAAGTAGGTATTTTGAAATACAATGTCACAAAGCAAACAATTAAAAAAATGAAATTCTTCAAATTAAATTACAAATCCTACTTTCATTTCTCTCCTATAAACTTCGGTTTTTTTCTCTCTCTTATTTTGAAAAAAAAAAAATTCAAGCGGACGTGTTGTGTATGTGTGTATACTTTTTTTTTATCCATCAAATCGCTTATAAATATATATATAGGTAAATTGTACATACATATATTTATATAACGTTGAAAAATGACCACCTATTTAAAAATTGCCTCGAAAGTCTTCGGCGCGCCATCTTGTAAATTCGCAGTGTACAAAGGCGGGAGGAAAACTTTTGAAAATAATCTCTCACATATTAGCCTGAGCACTCTGCTTTGTCTTGATTTACGTATCGGGAACATGTTTTTTTTTTAAGAACAGACGAGTCATAGCTAAGGTTTGTTTTTGTTTTTTTTTTGTTTTTTTTTTTTTTAAATTGGTGCTGATCTGTAAGTGGCATTTAGGCTGGGATTTGCTTCACGGTGGTGTTTGGGTCTTGAAATCAGTGGATATTGGCGCATCACATGGCATACTTGCGCGTCCATTCTCGTGCCAATTCGTTGTACTTCTCTCTGTCTGTTTTATATATCCTTGCTATCTCAGGTACCAGAGGATCGTCTGGATTTGGATCGCACAGCAGAGAGCATATCGATAACAACACTGGAAATTAATTTAGAAAATTAACAATAATAATGCACATGTTCCAGTAATCTGTTCGCAGTTTCAAGTTAGTTGTTGTTTCTTAACTTTTTTTTATAATTTTTCTTTTCATATATTTTTAATTTTAAAATTAATGTATTGAAAATCATCGAATTGTTGCAAAGAATTTTATCAAAAAATTTGATAATAATAGAATTCCTCTAAAGAATTTTATTATTTAGGAAAATAATTGAATTCACGCGAAGAATTTTATTAAAATTTTAAAAAATCCTAATTAAATTATTTTGAAAAATTTCTTTCAATTTTTTTTTAAACTAATGGAGTTTCTTTAATAATTTTAATTGAAAATTTTGAAAGCCATTGAATTTTATATTTTATATAAAAAATAGTTGAATTGTTTCGAAGAATTTATTAAAATTTTAGGAAATAATTGAAATTTATAGAATTATTTAAAAATATTTGAATTCATTCGAGGAATTCAATTAAAATTCTTTTGAAAATAATTGAATTCCTGCAAAGAATTTTACTATTTATAAAATTAATTGAATTCATGCCAAGAATTTTACTATTTATAAAAATAATTGAAATTTTTCAAAAGAATTTATTAAAATTTTAAGAAATAATTAAATTGTTATGAAGAATTTTATAGAAATATTTGAAAATAATGAAATTTTTTTGAGAAATTCAATTAAAGTTGTTTCGAAAATAATTGAATTTCTTTTAAGAATTCTATTATTTTTTGAAAATAATTGAATTCTTTCAATTTTTTTGACGAATATCTTTAAAAATTCCATTTAAAGTAATTTAATTTTTATAGGTATAGAATTTTTACAAAATATTTTGAGAATAATTGAATTATATTTATAGAGAATTTTAAATTCTTGTTGAAATTGAATTTTATGGAAATTTTTGAAAATAATTCAATTTTTTCGTGTAGTTTTATTTAAATTTGATTAAAAATAATTTAATTTCTGCAAAGAATTTTAGTATTTATAAAAATAGTTGAATTGTTTCGAAGAATTTATTAAAATTTTAGGAAATAATTGAAATTTATGGAAATTTTTAAAAATATTTGAATTCATCCGAGGAATTCAATTAAAATTGTTTTAAAAATAATTGAATTCCTGCAAGAAATTTTTCTATTTATAAAATTAATTGAATTCTTGCAAAGAATTTTACTATTTATAAAAATAATTGAATTTTTTCGAAGGATTTATTAAAATTGTTTTGAAAATAATTGAATTTTTGTAAAGATTTTATTATTTAAGAAATATTCAATTATTTGCAAAATTTGCAATTAAAATTCTTCAAAAGTTGATTTTCGAAAATTGTAACAAAATACCTGAAAAAAATTAATTATTTTCAATTAAATTTTACTAAATTTCAACTATTCAAAAAGATTTTTTTATAGATTTTTTTGAAAAAAATTGAACGATTTATATTTAAGTTTAATTTGACGAAGTTTCGTGTTTTAATTCCTTTAGAAATAATTCATCTCCACACATTTTTTTATTCTTTTTAATTTCTTGCCGGAAAGATAAACAACGTATTTTTCACTTGTCCAATTTTCTTCTTTGCAAACTATTCTTATTGTTTTTAAATTGTTTATTAAAAAAATAAAAAATAGTCTGATAGAAATTGAAAAACTTCATCTTTTCTTAGGTTTTAAATTAGTTTTCGAATAAAAATGAAGAAAAAAATTATTTTCTCAGCATTATTTAAAAGTTTACAAATGAACAAATGTTTTTCTTTTCTTGGATAAATTTTTCTATTTCAAAAATTGTTCAATTGACTTAAATTGAAATTTTCTACAGATTTTAACGAAATAGAGAAACTTTTCAAAAACCCACGGATATTTTTGTAAATTTCCCGGCAACGAACATACCTTTTGATATAGTGAGTGCGGGAGACCACTGCGATCTCAAAATGTCCAAACAAATACTTCCATTACTGTTAATATTAGGGTGATAAATTCTTGTAGTAAACGCAACCTACAAAAAAGTAAAAATAATTAGTTTTTATTTCCAAAACAAAATTAAGCAAGACTCTTGTGAATTATTTGATTGATTTATAAAAAACGTACAAATTTTAAATTTATTTAAATTAAAAAAAAAATTTAAATACTAAAATGTAAATGAAAATTGTAAATTTGACGATACGAACCTTTGGAGGTTTAAAAGGATAATCTGTGGGAAAGTGAATTGTAAGGAAAAATACGCCTCCTTGATACGGGCTGTCAGGCTAAAAAAGAATAAAAATTTTATTAATACGGTAAATAATTGTAAATGTAACAAAAAATACAAAATTTTCAATTCTTAGACTAAATTGAACAATAAAAAGAAAATAAAAACAGTAAAGAATAGAAAATAGTTACAAGAAATTAAAATAGTATTATTTTAATTTCTTGTAACTATTTTTTATTCTTTACTGTTTCTATTTTTCACATAACTGAAATAAAAAAAACAATATTCATAGTTTATTTATTTATTTAGTAAACATGGCCAAAATAAAACCAAAATTCTTCTATTTATAAATCTTGTATTGATTACGAAATTCATGCTATTTTTAGATTAGAAATTACTTACTGGTCCCATAATCGTTGCCTGCCAATGGAATACTGAAAAAGACAATGATGCAAGGTAAGTATTAGTTGTGACTGCAAAAATTTTTGCTCCACAAAACAAATAATCAAAAAAAAAAGAAAAATATCCAAAAATCTTAGAAAAAGATCTAAAAATCAATCTTTTAATAATAAAAATATTAACAAAAATTCTTTTTTCTTTCATTATAATATCGATTTTTATTATTAAATTAAAAATATTACCGAGAAATATTATTTCATAACATTGTACATTACTCTTATTTCTTAAACAATAAATAGTATCATTTCGATTTATAAATATTTAATACTGTAAAAAGTTTGCCTCTAGTTTACTTGAAAAAAAGTTACATTGACTTCTTTACATTTCAGGAAATAGACAATTACAATATAAAAATATTGTTTATAATATAATATTGTTTATAATAAAACAGAAAATTTAATTTAATATTTCGATATTATAAACAAAGAATTGAAAACAAAGTTTTTAAATAACAAATCGTAAATAATTTTGAATATGTAGTAAAATAGTGAGTTAAACTGAAATAATATACAAAATGATCGAAATTAAATAAAATTGGAAATACTTAGTTTTTTTCTTGCAAACTTTAAACTTAAAGGTAAAAAACAATGTAAATAAAAATAAGTATTTGAAAAAATTTAATACTTTTTGGTTTTAAATAAAATAATATACTGAAAATAGTATTTGAAATTTTTATCAATTTATAACGGGGGAAATATTAAGATTCTCTATGAACGGTTAAAGAAAATGGCGTCCAGGTAAGTATCACGTGTTTATATGAAGTTTATGCAATTTTTATAAAACATATTACTCGAGTTTTTCTCTCCTTTTTGTTACAGAAAAAAATAATAATTCCATCTCGTTGAAAACCTTGAAAGTAGCATCTACTTAAAAGACATTTCTCTTAAGAATATTTATACTATTAATAAAACTTAATTTCTTGAATAGATTTTATTTTATTTTACTTCCAAGTTTTTATTTACATTTCCAAATTTTTATTTAATTTTACTTTCAAGTTTCTATTTTATTTTCCTTTATTTAAGGGGAGACTTCCCTTTTTCGATTTTTATTTTTCTTAAAAATTGATAGATTTTAAAATCCCTGAGTAATTTGGTAGAAAATATATTTTTGTATTCACAAAAAAATTGCCCAATGAAAAAAAATGATTTTTATTATTTTTGAAGCATTTTTTGGGGAAAAAAATCATTCAAGTTAAAAATGGTAAAAAAAATCATTATTATATTTTTTATATGGAAATTCACTTGTTTATTTTTGAAACTAATTTTAAATCATAGTGTTATATTTTTTATTTTAAAAAATTGATTTGAAATTAGTTAGAAAAATAAACAAGTGAATTTCCATATAAAAAATTTAATAACAATGGTTTTTTTTAGCATTTTCAACGTAAAATCAATGTTTAAAAGAAAAAATGCTTCATAGATAATAAAAATAATTTTTTTCATTTGGGAATTTTTTTGTGAATACAAAAACATATTTTCTAAAAAATTAGGGATGGATTTGAAAATATATCAATTTTTAAGAAAAAAAAATCTAAATATTTGTGACCATTGATTTCCTCTTTAAAAATTACTATAAAAATAATTTTATGAAAGATTTAAATTATTTTCTTGATATAGTTAAAAATGTAGTGAAAGTCTCCCCTTAATTTTTAAATTTGTAAATAATAATTATTAAATATTGAAACTTACAATCATCACCTACTGGTCCAGCTGAGCATTGTGCTGGTGGATCCCTTCCGAGATCTTGAAGTTCCTGTAAAAATTACAAAAATTTATTAAAAATTACAATATTTAAGTAAAGAAAAAAATTAAAAACCTTACAAAAAATTTAATTAAACATATTTTTAAATAAATGAAAAAATTCATCAGTATTTCAACGAATCCTTAAATTATCATTGACTCGAAAAAGAGAACGTAATTTCGGGAGTGTTTATATTTCTAAGTTGCGAAACTTTTTAAAAATAAACTGTCAATTTTCACGTGAAATCCAACTGCAATCAATGAAAACAATAAAAATGAAGATCAAACTTAAATATTCCTTGAAAATTTCTTTAAAATTCCTGTAGAATTTAAAAAAAACCCTTTAGAAATTTTTAAAGATTCCTTTAGAATTTCCATAAAAAATTTCTCCTTTAATTATTTAAAATCCAAATTCAAAGCAAGTTGTCAAAAAGGAAAAGAACAAATTTGGAAATTTGCATTTAAAAAAAAATTGAAATATCATTTTTAATTCGAAATAATAAAAAAAAATGGAGAGAATTTAATAAAAAAACAAAATCAATAATCACCGTCTTTTCCAACGGCGTAAAAATTGCGTGGAAAATAATTAAAGTTAATATAAATTTTCATTTAATCAGAGAATATATATATAATATATATATACAGATATACAAAAGAATTTTTGTCAATATCACCACAAATATTCTTTGACCTTAACCTAATTATTCTGAAAAGCATTTATATTGACAATGACAAAAAAAAAGAACTTTGATAATCCAAGTTTACTCCAATAACCTCTATTATAGAAAATATCAATTATTTAACGTTAATGGTAAAATATCAAGAAAATAATTTGCAAAAATTAATCCGCATTATAGAAACATTCCATTTTGCACACCATACAAAACGATAAGCATTGAATCAAACCAGTCAAACTACATTTTGAAATAATGAAAATTGTCCTTGGATATCCGACTCCCAAGTGTGTATGTGGATATATAAAGAAAAAGAAAGCCCAACCGAGAAAATTATTTCTTTTGTTTTCAAAAAAAAAAAGATTTTTTAGTAATTAAACCGAATTTGGTAATTTTTTACTTTTACTAAAGAATATTACAATGATAAAACATGAGTCATTCGTTGGCTCGTGGGCATTTAACAATTAACGTGACATTTAACACTTAGAAATTTCCAAGCTATAAAAATGTAAAGAAATATTCGAGTCCACGAAATCTTTTGGAAATGAGAGTTTCTGTTTTCTCAAGTTATCTATAGAACCCGCGGGGTATATATATATATATAAAGCTATATATATAGTATACATAGTGTATATATATATATAATATAATGCACGGTTTTACGTTACTTCCGGCAATTTATTGGACATCACTGGGTTTTTCCGATTTTCACTGTCATCTTTATAAAAATGCGAAACACAATCACGAAAACGAGACACAAATAAATCGTTAAAAGCAGAGACAATGATCGATTTTTTCGATGAGAGAAGAAAAAAAAATTGGAGTAGAATACTCCCATATCAAAATGGAATGATGGAAGAAAAAAGGAAGGCCAAAAAGCCAACATGATTTTCAATGCTACCTCACATTGTGTGCTACACTCGCAAAAATCGTTAAGGGCGTTCAACTGAACATCAAACACTGGATTACACTGGACGAAACTGATTTTCAATTAATGAAAAAACACTGCCGATTATTCACGTACCTTATTAATTCGTTTTAAAGCCATTTGACGAAACTGTGTTGATATTTAACTGGCCAGAAAACCAGACAACGACACCCGCTAGGCAGAGATCTTTGATTAGGGATTACAAGATGGCTGCCTTCTAAACGTCGGTCTACTGCGTGACTCAAGCGATATTTTGTATTTTCAATTTTATTATATCGAATTCTCAAATATTTGTATCACTCTAATGGGTAAAATTACTGAAAATTGGAGTGGATTTTAATTTAATGTTTGATAATTATTGATGTTGAGTGATTTAATTTAAATGGATTTTACTTGGTCGAAACCTTGAGTTCGACGTTGTAACTATACAAAGAAGAGACGGATTTCCTTTTATCGACAATTGACAGATTTCTATTGGAGAGTAGGCCAATTGGCTCATAGATGGAGCTCACTATGCTGGCGCGGGAATTTTGTTTGAATTCAAAATTTTATTGAAAATTAAATATAAATTATAAATAAACAAATGAAATGTAATTTATCGTAATTGAACAAATTACGAAAATTGTTTAAGAATAATTATTAATTATTATTTAACGAGTGCAATTTTTAATTATTTGACGACTTTTGACTCCAAGCAACAATATTAATTACAAAAACAAAATAAATAACAATATTAATTGCAAAAATATAAAATAAATAACAATATTAATTACAAAAATAAAATAAATAACAATATTAATTACAAAAACAAAATAAATAACAATATTAATTGCAAAAACAAAATAAATAACAATATTAATTGCAAATAAAAAATAAATAACAATAACAATAAAAATAAATAATAACTAATAATAATATTAATAAATAACAACAATAGTCCAAAATAAATAAAAGACAAAATAGTAAATACTAATAAATAAAAAATAATAAGGATAAATAATATTAAATAAAAAAATAATAATAATTGATAAATTATCAAATAATTTTTTTAAACAAATATTAAAGTTATTATTGCAAATTGAATTTTGAACATTAATTTTAAATAATAAATTATTTGACTCCAAGCACTAATATTTACTGTAAAAATAAATAACAATAAATAATAATTTATTATTTTTTTCTAAATAAATAAATAAATATAAATAATATTCATAAATAACAATAACAATCCAAATTAAATAAATAAGTGACTAAATAGTAAATACTAATAATAAAAAAATATTAATAAGTATTAATGAATAATAGTGATAAAGATAATAAAAATAATAATTAATAAATTATAAAAATATTTTTTTAAACCAATATTATTTATTGCAATATTAATTATTGCAAACTTTATTTTGAAAATAATTGATTATTGATTCTCACCAACAATATTGTAAAAATAAAATAAATAATAATAAAAAAACTTTTTTAAAATTATAAAGGTTAAAATTTTATAAAACTATGTATTGGACAAAATAAAGAGGAAATAAATAAATGGTAGGTATTAGGATAATAATATTAAATAAAAAATTAGAAATAATAATAGTACATAAAAAATAACAAATAAATAATAATCAAGAATAAATAGTAAATATAGGTAATTAATAAATTTAATTAATAAATATAAGAGTTAAAAAATTATCTATAATTATTTTTTTAAAACCAATAATAAAATAAAAAATTTAAATTTAATAATTTGATAATAGATTGTCATTTAAGAACAATTTTTTTTTAAAGTCAGTCATTAAAAATGACGCATCATTTTGCGTCATTTTAACCTCTTTATGAAAATAAAATTTTAAATTCCTTTGACTCGAAGAAAAATGTTTCTTATATAAAAAAAAAAAGAAAATAATCAATAAAAATAAAAATTAAAACTTTTCCATATATTATTTACACGAAAATGTGTGAATCATTTATTCCAGAATGTTGCAAAATTTAAAAATTAATGGAAAATTCAGTGCAGTTGTCAAAATTTAAAGAAATAAAATTTTTGAAATTTTAATTTTTCTTCTTGGAAAAAAAAATGTCATCGAAAAAACGTGGTAATTATTATTCTATGATGTAAATTATAACAAATATTTGATAGTCAAAATAATGATATTTTGTTATAATGATAACAAAATAAATAGAAATTTAAATAAGTTATTAAAATGAAAAATATTTTTTTAAGAACAAGGTTAAACTAATATGATTTAATTTTTAGAAAATTTGAACTGTAGCCAAAAAAAATGAATTTCTTCTTTTTTGAAAAAAAAATCCTCTGGGAAATTATTTTTAACTCTTTCTCTAGGTCAATGATTATGTGCTAAACGCTTTTTTCTGGTTGCAATAAAACTTATTGCAAAATACTTATTAATGCTTTAAATTAATTTATATTTTTATTTCCTTTGTAGATTTTATTTAAAAAATTTTTTTTTTTAAATTTCATTTTTTAAAATATCGAAAATTAATTAAAAAAAATTTTTTTTAATATTAACCACTTTCGATGTTTTAATATTCTAACATTATAAAGCAATAATAAAGCAATGAATATAGAAAGTAATTAATATTCGATGTAAATTTAGAGTAAACAAAAAAAAAAGAAAATTAAAGTAAAGTATTGTAAATTTTGAATTAAATGAAATTTTACAATTTATTTTCAGTAAACACTATGTGTGTGCTATATGAACTTTCCCAGAATCTCATCAACATAATTGGTTCTCGTCCTCGCGCTTATTTAATTCACTTTCTCTTTTATTACCAGTTATTAACAATTTATATCAGGTTAATGGGTCGTTTATTGTAAAATTTAACAAATGTTGTTATTTTTTTTTTTGTATTTTCTAAAGAAAATTTTACCTAAAGTTTGAAATATGAAATTATCTGCAACTTATTAATTTTGCCCTTTTCTTAATAATTAGACAATTATTTATCAATTATAATCCTTAAAGTTTCACAGGAAAAAAAAAGTCTGACTCCGTTTACACCTTAAATTCAGCCCATGTATTTCACATAAGTCTGTCCTTGTTTAATGGGGCTGACTCCGTTTACACCTTAAATTCAGCCTCGAAAACAGGCTAAAAGTAAAACTTTTTTTTTAGTGTGTTGAATGTAAAGAAATTATATGCAACTTAATTATAATTTTATCCCTTTCTTAATAATTAGACATAATTATTTATCAATTATAATTATCTGTTAGGTAGTTATTACTATACAGTATATTAATTATTCGATAATTATTTATTTTCTTTCTATAATTAACTTGAATTATAAATTTAATTATATGAACTGTAAATTATAAACTAAATTTAATTATAAATTTAATTATATGAACTGTAAATTATAAACTAAATTTAATTATAATTTTAATTATAACTTTAATTATAAATTTATATTAACAGATCAAGAGGGATGCAATTGCGAGAGAGCCCGTGAAAAATCGAAGCGATCATCAAAAAAATCATCAACAAAAGGAAAACCCAGTAGAAAGAGACAGACGTTGGTTTTCAATCCCGATGAAGAAACATATGCCGAGCCTTATATGAAGTCACTTGGTGAAGAATTTTCCCGAACAACATTAGTGTGCGATTCAAAAATTGAATTACCATGGAGGGAAATTTCGATAAAAACAAACGAGATAAAGATACGAAAAACAATTGAGGGAAATAATGGAGAATTAGAAACGAATTTAGAAAATGAAAATAAAGAAGGAGAGTCAACTAATAGAGAAGAAGATTTAGAGGAGAAGAAATCAAATGGTCAAATGGTATTACCATGGAAATTGTTAGTGATTTCTGGTGTAGTGCAACCGCAAAATATTTCAACTCTCGGCCTAGGTCAATGTGATTCTAAACTTGAAATACCATGGGATATTCTTTGTTTTGATTCGCCAGTGAAAATAAATCCTACACCCGAGGTGGAATCGTGCAACAATGAAATTGATGATGTCCAGATTCCATGGAATGATTTGATGATACCACAGAATCTTGTAATTGAAGCTAAAAAGATAATTGAACATCCTTCCAATAAACATCCACCTCGATCAGCATTGTCGGCGAAGCGTCGTGGGTGTTCACCATGTATAAGGGCTCAAAGGAATTCAAAAAAAATTATCTAAATAAAGAAATAATATTTTCACTAAATACATATATGTACTATCATATTTATGATTATTTTACATTTATTACTTACTTACTTTTATAATATTTAAAACATATCTTATTTTTGCATAAGATTTTCGATTTTTGTTGCTAGAGGGCCTAAAGTTATTTAAGAAGTAGAAGAAGTTTTTTGACCAAAGAATGAAGATTAAAAAACGAGTAAAGTATTTTCGAAGAGCCCAAAAATAATTAAACAATTTGCATTAAAAAAAAACCAAGGTTGAGACGTGGTGTCTTTAGCTATATTCAAATCTTTTACGGTTTTTTGCAACATCCTCTAGAAGTACATATAGTTATTCATCCTCTGGAAGTTCCTTAAGTATTTTAAAAATGAAATAAAATTTTTAAAAAAAACTATTAGGTTTACTACTTACCATGGTCCAACTGCATTACTGACTCGTCGAGTTGTTCACCGAAGAGTTTGAAGAATGATCCACAAGAGGGAACTCGGATCGTCAAAGTGTTGTTCTTGGCGATGGTTGTGGTGCTATGTCGTCACGCATATCTTGCAAACATGCAATCGGGCAGCCGTCGACAGTCGGCATTTGCCAGTAGACGCGAATGGTAGTCCGTGTGGATTGGTGTGAGTGAGTCATGGAACTCACAAAATTAAAATGGCGTAGCCACTAGATCATGTCGCAATCTCATTGGTCTTTTATTCAAAACATTAAAAATTCCAACTATGTTTCTCGTGTCCTGATCGTTGACAATAAATCAATAATCAACGATTTGTCCAGTGTTATTATTTTTGGATTAACTCCCATCGAAACAATGAGTGTAAACTAAATATATTATGTGTTTGTGGGTAGTGTGTGTGTGTGTATGTGCCAGTGAGAGTGAGTGAGTGTACAGTGTGAAACAATCATGATAATTTTGACAGCGATTATTTAAATCCAACAAAGTTACTTGTTAGAAATAATATTTTAATTGTCTACATTTGTTAAATGGTTTTTTTACTTTCTGTTCATGTTGATGTAATGATATTTTTTTTTGGGCGCGATCACACTAAATAATCAGCCTCATGACAGCTTGACGATCTTGCAATGAGTCAAGATGGCGCCACCGGCCTTTTGACATATCCACTTGATTATCAGCTGGATTTCACAGCCTTTCTGGATTATTTTTGATATATTATGAGCAGAGAATTTTACGTACCTTGCACGCCTTACGCATATTCGGTGAGTAACAACCCTCTTATTGATTTTAGTCACTCTGTAATTTTATAAGCTTCATTCTTTTACTTTACACACTAGGCTTTATTTATTTTTTTTTTAATTTAAAAGGCCTTCCAAGCCTTGCTTTTCTCTTTCAGAGTCCAATAATTATTCCAAAAGAACAAAGATAATATTTCGCAATATAACAATATTGACGAATGATCACCTGGATTTCTAGAGAAAAATATTTAATAACTTAACAGTGACTGCAATTGATTTCAATTAGTCAGTGTTCATCTTTAAAATAGGCTTTCAAGTCACTATTAACTTAAAAGTATCAAATTGCAACTAATTGATACCAAAATTGTGGATCAAATAAAAAATTGATCCAAATTTTTTGATATTAAATTTGATATCAATTTGATCCAGTTTAGTATCAATGTGATGCTTTCAAGAAAACTGTGAGGAAAGCTTGGAATATTCTAAGATCTTAAAACAATGCTTTAATCTTTTATTTCATATTTTAAGATCCAGGCCTTGGTGCCACACTTTTATTCCTATTTTGTTTTTATTACCAAACAAAGCACAAGTGACGCATTATTTAATTTAATTGCGGTCTCTCACTGGGACTAGGAATTAATTTTGCAACTTAAGGAAGTTCATTATGAAACTATAGATTATAAAATGAAATAATTTATATAAGGATCAAGAATTGTGACAGTTTCAAATCGGATTGATTTTGCTTTAATTCAACATCGTATTTATGATTCGGATTTGTCAAATGCGTGGTAACCAGATGTGTGGCAGATTTTAAAAATTTCAAGTTTAGTGAATAAGGAGAAGACAAATTCATCGAAGACTACATAAATTTTTACATGTTGCATTTTGTTTCGCAATGGAGAAAAATTTTTCAAAATATTTCAAATTTGTTGCATTATTCGCTCGAAATACAAATTCGCAAAATTACATTTGCTCAACAATAACAATAGATTTGAAAAGGGAAACACATTTGTTATTGGACAAAAACATTAATAGACTGACGTAATTCATTAACATTCGTGAGTAATTTAGGGATATCCTACAGTAGTGACATTCTAATGAGTTTATGACTCGAAAAATAAAATTCCTGAAAAGACGTAAAATATCTCAAGATTCTCAAGGACTAAAATTACTAAACTACCAAATTGCTAATTATACTAAAAGTGCTTTTGATATTATCAAAATTGGATCAACTTTTTACAAAAGAATTTCAATTTTGTGGAATATTTACATAAGTTACAACTATGAAAGAGAAACATTATTTTTTTTTGGGCTAAATTTTTTTAAATAATTAGATTTTACAGTCACATTCGAATGAATTCATTATGCTATTATTATTAGTGTAAAATGTATCATTAAAGAGTCCAAATTGCATATAAAATTATTAATTTTCTTAATTAGTTAATTTAAAAATTTTAATTTACTTAATATTTTCAATCTGTTAATTTGAAACCTTTAAATGAATTAATTGTCTTAATTAGTTCATTTAAAAATTTTAATTTACTTAGTTTTGTTAGTTTCGTATTAAAATTATTTTTTTTAAATTAATTTTATAAACTAAATTTTTGAAAATTTTCATTAAAAATTCTGAAAAATGAGCTTTTTTAAATATATTTCAGTTTCATTTTTTGCATATAATTGAATTCTTATAAATAAAGTAATTAAATTTTTTGTTTAAATATTTGAAGCTAAATGATTAAAGAATTGAAATTTTATAGAATTTTATTCAAAAGTAATTGAATTTTTAAAGCATTTTATTAAATTTTTTTAAAAATAATTAAATAATTGAAATTTTATAGAATTCAGATTCTATATTCAAAATAACTTAATTTTTAAAGAATTTTATTAAAATTTTTTTGAAAATAATCGAGAAAATATCAATGACTACTTTAATTTTTAAAATAGGTAGAGAGGCTTAATGATTTTAATTATATCTTTGTTTCTATAAATTCCTGTTTTTATAATTAATTGATCTCCCCTTGAAATTTTTTTTTTTTTTGCAGAATTTCTTTCTTATATTTTTACTGAATAATAAGAAATTGAATTTATTTAAAATAATTTAATTCTTGAAAAACTTTTATGAAATTGCTACTTATAAATTATGTAACGAATATTTTTAAATAAAAATTCCAATAGTAATTTAATTTTATAAGAGATGCGTTTACAATGTTTATAAATAATTGAATTTCAAAAGGGTTTCAAGTTGAAATAGTATAGAAAATTTAAATTTTAACCTAAGTTTTATTGAAAAGTCTGAAAAAGTTAGTTCTTCGAAAACTTTATTTAAAACTTGAATTATTGTATATAAATTAAAAAATTAAAATTAAAAAATTTTGTATTTAATAGAAAAAATTTTTTTCGCCTTTTTATAATTATTTCCTTTAATTTCTTTTTGTACACTAGAAGAAACCATTATTTTGAATCAAATTATCAATTAAATATTTACTGGAATCAAATCAATTTTTACTATAATATATACTATACTTTTTTCTAAAAATAAATTATAATTGAACTACAATTATTTCAGTATTTGAATTTTTTAATATTTGAATTCAGTATTTGATTTAAATATAGAAATTAACTGATTCAAGTAAATATTTATTTGTTAATAAATAGACAAATAGAAGAGTTATCCGCTATTCGAATTAAAAAAAAAATGTTTCCCTTTTTTTTGTTTGTTTTCCTTCTTCGATTATTTCCTTCTATTTACGACTCTGAATTCCATTTTTCCTCAAAGTTCCGTTTCCTAAAACTCTCCCCTTCCCCAGGAACTTTATTGACGAAATAAAAATGCCTTCAGTTTAGAAATATCGTGACAATAAAAAATTAACTCATAATTTGTTTTCCCTTATATGTATCTCTATCAGTTAATCTCCAAACTAAAATTTCTTTTTTCGTTTTTAAATAATAAAACGAAAATTTCTTCTAAAATTTTTCATGAAGATTAATTTGTCATAGGTTCAAATTTTAAACAGAGGACCATTAATTTTGATTATATCGAAAGTGGACTGTAATAAGAGAGAGAGAGAGAGAGAGAAAAGAGAGAGAAAGAGAGAGAGAAGGAAATATTATGGGATTTATCGTTTATAAATTTATATTGGGGAATAATCATTCAAACGAAACGTTAGACACGTTCGATGATTTTAGTTCTTTGCGCACAAGGAAAGTTTCAATATCTTTTCTCGAACCGTTATTTAAGTCTTAACTGACAAGATTTCTGTATAATAAACTCTTTATTATTGTAAATGTAAGTGTATATTTGCCAATGCAAGTATAATATACTTTTGATGCTATTTCTTTTGATGGATTTATTTCTTTTCTTGAATAATATACTATAAAAATATGTTGACAAGGGAATTATCTATATTGAATATAGTATAGTTTTAACGAATCGCGATTTATTATTGTATTTTAAGTATAAAATATTGTTTTTCTATGATTCCATGATTTCTCTTCTTTCTTCACCCTCTTCTCCTTTCTTCACCCTCTTCTTCTTTCTTCATTCTCTTCTTCTTCCTTTTTCCTCTTTTCCTCTATTATTTATATTGTATTTTAAGTAAAATATTGTTTTTCTACGAATCCGTGATTTTTCTTCATTCTTCACCCTCTTCTTCTTTCTTCATCCTCTTCTTCTTCTTCCTTTTTCCTCTTTTCCTCTATTATTTATTATTGTATTTTAAGTAAAATATTGTTTTTCTTTGATTCCTTGATTTCTCTTCTTTCTTCACCCTCTTCTTCTTTCTTCTTCCTTTTTCCTCTTCTTGCTTCTTTCTCCATCTTCCTCTTTTTCTTTCTTCTTCCTTTTTTCTCTTCTTTCTTCTTTTTCTTCATCTTCATCTTCTTCTATTCTTATATTTTTCTTTACTTATTTTATTAAAAATCAAATCTTGCCGTCAAAATTTAAATTTTAATTATTAAAAATCAGTTATCTAAATGACATATTCGATATGAATAACTGTCTTCAGTAAAAATTTTAGTAAAACTTATTTTTCTAAATGAAATCCCATATAAATGTCTTCAGTCAAAATTTTAATTTTTAAAAATTACTCTTCCAAATTTTTTTAATTGAGATTCGATAAACAACTGTCTTCAGTCAAAACTATATATATATAGAAGTGGCTCTAGAAAAAATGAAGATCGAGAATTTTTTTTTAGTGCCTTTGGGAAAAATTGACATAGGTGGGAAAAATGCAGGAGTTTTTAGTTTTAAAATTGTGGTCTTTCCAACTTTTCACGGTTAGGATGAAACGGTAGCTTTAATAATCGTATCCAATGAGTAATCGAGTCTCCACGACGTAATTGAGAAAAACATTTCCTCAGACCCCCATCCGCACGAACTGTCATTTCCGGTAACGTTTGAAATGGTTGATAATAGCAAAAAAAAAAAAAAAAAACGAAAGAAAAGAGGAAAATTAGTTCCAGTTTAGAAAAAGTACGCGGGGAATGGAAAATTCTCTTTTTCAAAACGGAAGTTTCAAAATAATTAATAATAATTTTTAAAATAATTATTAAAATCATTATTAAAATAATTTTTTAAAAATAATTTTTATGTTTACTTGAAATATAACTAACCTTAGTTAATTTTGATAACCTATCAAAGTTATCTTTGTATTAAAATTTGTTAACTTTGTATTTCAAATTTTAATTTTTGATTTTTAATTTTTTAATTTTTTAATTTTCCAAATTTAGTTCCAATTTTGCGTTTATTTTCCCAATCATGTTTTTGTTCTTCAACATTTTAGTATAGAGATTAAAATGATTGTATTGTTTTTTTTTCCTCTGGCATTCGAAAATTATGAGTCGTTTCAGTTAAAACCAATCATTCTTTAGCTGTCATAACAAAACAGATAAAATTCCAACTTCCTAATGTCGGACAATATCTAAGATCTTTGTTTAAATGGAGATAGAGGAAGAGAACAAAGGCCAAGGAAGAATTGACAATTTTCAAAATGACGGAAGCTTCATTCATTATACCGGAAATAACG